TTCTGTTATCGTGGATCATCTAGTAACTAGGGGAATGGATTTGAGCTACAAGATGCGGGAGGATTGGTATCACCATGGAGATGTAATATCAGGGAGTGACAGTAGAAACAATGCAAGTGAGAAGGAGGAGATTTTTGGGTTATACCAAGCAGCTGCGTTTGATGATGAAGAGTTTCTTAGGCAGGGGAACTTAACTGAGGTTGCTGAAGGTGAAGATAAGGAAGAGGATGAGTTTCTTGCTAAGCTAGCCGATGCAGAAACACCTTTGTATCCAAGTTGTGCTAACCACAGCAAGCTCTCGGCGATTGTTTCTCTATTCAGGATAAAGACACAGAGTGGTTGGTCTGATAGAAGCTTCGATCTTCTGCTTGAGGCTTTGCCAGAGATGCTACCGAAGGATAATGTGTTGCACAGGTCCTTGTACGAAGTGAAGAGGTTCTTGAGGTCTTTTGATATGGGTTATGAGAAGATTCATGCCTGTGTGAATGATTGATGTCTATTCAGAAAGGAGTTTGAGAAGCTAGAAAAATGTCCAAAATGCAATGCTTCAAGATGGAAGATTAACATGCGCACAGGGGATGTGAAGAAAGGTATTCCACAGAAAGTTCTTAGGTATTTTCCGATAATCCCACGGCTGAAGAGGATGTTCAGGTCAGAGGACATGGCGAGGGACTTAAGGTGGCACTCTAGTAATAAGAGCACTGATGGAAAAAGCAGACATCCGGTAGATTCTGCTACATGGAACCAAATGAATGACAAATACCCGTCCTTTGCCGCTGAAGAGAGGAATCTTCGGCTTGGGCTGTCAACTGATGGGTTCAATCCTTTTAGCATGAAGAATGTGAACTATAGTTCTTGGCCTGTTTTGCTTGTCAACTACAACATGTCACCTGAGAAGTGTATGAAAGAGGAGAACATCATGTTGTCGTTGCTGATTCCTGGTCCAACCCAACCTGGAAACAATATTGATGTGTACTTAGAACCGCTTATAGAGGATCTAAACCAACTGTGGGAGAAAGGAGAGGTAACGTATGAT